GCAAATAGCCCTCGTGTAGCTTTGCACGAAATTCAAAACAAACAATATTAAAACATAAAATCAAGGAGCTTCCACACCCCTGGCGATAGTGAGTAAAAATCAGAAAAAATGTTGTCTGATAAGATATTTGTGTAAGGGTAGAAATCCGTACGTACAAACAGGGTACAAAGTTATTATTATGTTTTAATGGGTTTAACTCTTTCTATCTTAAACTTCTGACTGGAAGCATCTCGAAAACAACAGGTTGAACAAACTGATCTTACACGTGTACCAAGTTCCACAGTTATGGAAGTATGAAACACAGAATTACATAAATAGCTGAGCTTTAATTCCTCGTGTAATAAAAACGTTGTGTATTATACATAAGGAGTTTTTGCTTCTTTACTTGAACGCTTGGGTGTGGTAAAATCAAGGAGCAGGAAGTTGTCGTTTTCTTCTAGTTTTAGGTATACATTCGCTTCGTATCTTAATGTCGTCGTCGTCAATCATCAAGTGAGCGATGCCCCTTCGTTAGTCGACAAAGACTGCCACAGGCACACACACGTTTTTGCCACTGTTTTATGTGTGCTTTTCCTTCCAACCTTTCGACACGACTCCGCCTCTTCTTGCTGAGAGACGAAAAAGAAACAGCGGACATCCGTTCCTACCTGGTATGAAAGTTAAAAAGTACTTCCATCCACAGCTAAGTCAGGTTAAGTTCTCCCGTGCGCTCCTTTTTAAAAACGGGGCCTAACAATGTGTTCAGCGATCAAAGCCAATAATCTTTACGTTACAGACTTATACATAACCACATAGTCGTGCAGTATACTTTATAGTGTATGTTTATAACCACTAGACGGTTTCTTTATTCAAAATTCAGAAGTAGATTCTAAACATAAAAGAGTCTTGCTGATTTTACTTCAGAAAAAGTTGTGACTGGTTAATGTAAATATAGGAGTATGCATTTGAAGATTTCATTCAAATATTTTGATGAGAACGTAGAAAAAAAACATATTTCCTTACTTTTTTGGTACATAGAATTAAGGACATTAAATCTATATTATGTTACTTTTTTTGGTACATATAATTAAGGGCATTAAATCTATATTATGTTACTTTTTGGTACATAGAATTAAGGGCATTAAATCTATATTATGTTACATTTTGGTACATAGAATTAAGGGCATTAAATCTATATTATGTTACTTTTTGGTACATAGAATTAAGGGGATTAAATCTATATCATGTTACTTTTTGGTACATAGAATTAAGGGCATTAACTTTACACTATGTTACTTTTTGGTACAGAATTAAGGGCATTAAATCTGTATTATGTTACTTTTTGGTACATAGAATTAAGGGCATTAAATCTATATTATGTTACTTTTTTGTTACATAGAATTAAGGGCATTAAATCTATATTATGTTACTTTTTGGACTGTAAAGTACAACCTTTGTAATATTATACAGGACATGCGTTTAGTTTGATTTTGTACATTCCAGTAAGGAAATTGCATGTATCTAAATGTCTATATCTGGGTATATGACTGGTAAAACATGAGATATATGTGTGCAGTCCCTAGAAAACACAATTAAAAGTATGTTATGGGGCTGATAAATCAAAGTCAGATACTTATCGTATGTGAACAGCAAATTATGATCAAATGCTCATCCTTAACAACAGACATTACTATTTATTTAGTAATTTCTGGTATGTCTTTTTAGGAGTAAAAATTACTGTGGTCAATAAAATATCCGTATTAGAACTATATGTCAAGAACTGGAAATATTGGTATATTTCTTATTGTTGTGGGTATACGTAAATGCTTTATGTGGTTGGAAAAGTAACAAAAATATGTTAATTATAATTTTATTAATCATGCAGACGTGAAGGTATTTGTCTCCAGGGTAAATACAACACCTGGTTAGTAATCTAGTTGGCTAATAACTAATAATATATCATGAGCAATAATTAAGTCGTTAGAATATGAATTTGCTTGGGACTGGTGGAAAAGAAAGTCATCTGGTTCAGGTACGAGTTTCTTGGTAAACTGGTGGAGTTAAGTAGAGTTCAGATAAAGCTGATGTATCAACTTATTGATGTAGTTATTATATCAGACCACTTGTGACTATATCTCACGTATAAGTTGTAATTTAGAAAGTTGTATTTATGTAATCAGGATATCATTTTACCGATAAGTGGTAGTGGTGTTGTTATAGGTAAGTATGTAAGTGCCTAGTAGTGGTAATACTTAGTACATGCCTGTTTTGCCGCTTTAAGGTGAAAGTATAAGTGTCTAGTAGTGGGAAGATGTGATGGAGCTCGGTGGTAGTTGTTATCAAATTGAAATAGCTGTTTGGAGTTCTTTTGATAATTCTGACGTCTCCAACATTATGTTTGCAATTTTAGTTTTGAACTATTTAATATATTGTTTAAGATAAATGCTTTTTTGCAATGGAAAAGTTAGTTTGCTGATAAAGTGTCTATCAAAATAGCTGTAAATGGCAAATCTTTGTCAGTTGCTGGTGTGTTTGATGCGTTGTCAAGAAATATAACAATGTAGTAGAAATGTGTTGTTTAAAAGTTTATAGTAAGTGCCTTAATATAAGACTTGAAAATATCAACCAAATTCCTTTAACTCTGGCGATACAAGAAATATTAAGTTAATGTTTCAACGGAATAAACTTTACGGAACGTGTTTCACATCATAAGACATCCAAACTGGAGATTTTGACTCTATTTCACGTTCAATGTGCTGCTACCAAAACCTCTGGTTTGTGCAGCCAAGTGATAAATATATTTTTATCAAGTTTAAAAAGAAACATTTACTGACTTAAGCACTTATACGAACACTCCATACCACAGTTTTAAATTGTGATTACACGATATCTGATCTTGGACGGCTACCAATATAGTCCTCGAGTAGCTATGCGCGAAGTTCAAAACAAACCAATATCAACCGAATATTGTTTGTTTGTTTTTGAATTTCGCGCAAAGCTACACGAGGGCTATCTGCGCTAGCCGTCCCTAATTTAGCACTGTAAGACTAGAGGAAAGGCAGCTAGTCATCACCACCCACCGCCAACTCTTGGCCTATTCTTTTACCAACGAATAGTGGGATTGACCGCCACATTATAACGCCCCCACGGCTGAAAGGGCGAGCATGTTTGGTGGGACGGGGATTCGAACTCACGACCTTCAGATTGCGAGTCGAGCGCCTTATCCACCTGGCCATGCCGGGCTCAACCGAATAACAGTGACAGATCCAGAGTTTATCTTCGATAGGGTTGACCTTAGCATACCTGGGGATGCTACCAACGCAGACGAAAACAAGCAACAATTTTTATTAATTATGTTTTTAAATGAAGAAAATCCACCTTAGTCATGGAATACAGTCCACAAATCACCCTTCGCTCCTTCAGGCACACAAAGCGAAATCTCTCAATCAACACAACTTCATCGTGCTCACAAAATCAAATACACTATGTGTAAAATAGTCTTTTTTTTATGTTCAACCAATTACAGTGCACGCTCTACTATAATTCGGAAAACCGGAAACATGTGTCGGAAGGGATTAATCTGTACTACGTGCGCATTTTAAAGCGCACAATACGGATTTTCCCGTCTGAGTAAAAAGAAACATAATTGCAGCATTTTTTTTACAGATTTTAGCTCTTCGAACCGCACGTAGTAACTTTCGGAAACTTCCATCAAGATCCGCCAGAGCTAATCAAAATGTAGTGCCTATAAGACATTTCACAACGATGGTACTTAAAATAAATAAATTATTCTATTATTTCGTATCATCATATGTCCGAGTCTGGCCAGGTGGTTAGGACGCTCGACTCGCAATCTGCGGGTCGCGGGTTCTCATCCCCGTACCACCAAACATGCTCGCCCTTTCAGCCGTGTAGCCCAAGAGTTGGCGGTGGGTGGTGATGACTAGCTGCCTTCCCTCTAGTCTTACACTGCTAAATTAGGGACGGCTAGCGCAGATAGCCCTCGTGTAGCTTTGCGCGAAATTCGAAAAACAAACAAACAAACAATACTTGGAACACGAGAGTAATATGTCTAAACCTAATTACTTGGAACACGAGAGTAATATGTCTAAACCTAATAACTTGGAACACGAGAGTAATATCTCTAAACCCAATTACTTCGAACACGAGAGTAATATGCCTAAACCCAATTACTTGGAACACGAGAGTAATATGTCTAAACCTAATAACTTGGAACACGAGAGTAATATGTCTAAACCCAATTACTTCGAACACGAGAGTAATATGCCTAAACCCAATACTGCCATAAGACAAAATCATAATGTTTTGTGAAAAATATTATCTGACGGCATCATTTCTTGTTGTTTATTGGCGAAAACTTAAGGTATTCACGACTGATAGATGAATAAAGTTTGAAGTATAAATGGTCCTTAGGTATTCACTACTGTTAGTTGAATAAAGTTTGAAGTAGAAGTAGTCCTCTTAGGTATTAA